CAGTGGCTCATCGATAATAAGGTGGCCAAAGAGGACGTGATAGAGCCCGTGGATAGACGGATGCTGGAGGTGCTGATGGGCGACGTCGAGCATCTGGTCGTGTTTTTCTATGATGGAGACGACTGTCTCGATTGCGACCAAATACTACAGGAGCTCGAGAATATCGATGACGATACCGATAAACACGGCATTCATTTCGTATGTGTTTTTTTCAATGTTTTGTTTTATTTACAGAATATTCTGTGCAATGATTTTTGTTTTATATGCTGTTTATATGCATATTAAGCGTACAGACTGTAACACATTATACTATTAGCAATATTAGTGCATAAATTGTGACCATGATGTTCAGTATATGGATGTTGAACTTGAACTTGATAACTTCCATAATGGAACTGTTAACATAAATTATGCTTTAAAATATTTTACATTGATGCATTAGTTTTACTCTTATTTTTATGCTTAAATATTGTATAATACTAATCATATCACAAAATCTCACGTATATTTTATACATTAATCTTAAATCATTATTATTTGATTAATGTAATTATAATTTGCACAGAATTATAGTATAGTACATTTTACAATACCACACTATAAACACATGGTGGCAATTAATTAATTAATAATTATCATTCAATAATTCAATTCAATTATTCACTCACATCTATACCCGGACGGGGACACATATGTAGGTAAAATGTGAAGACGACGAGTTTGCCCGTGAAATGGGTATCACAACAGTGCCGGCGCTGGTCTACTACGAGCAACGGCTGCCCTCCATATACGACGGCGACCTTCTGGACGAGGAGACGGTGTTGGAGTGGCTGATCCGTCAGCGCCAGGAGGACACCATCGAGAACATCAACCGAGACATACTGTTCCGAATGGTGGCCGACAGGGAATACCTGGCCGTCCTATTCTATAAGCCCGACGACGACGAGAGCGACGAAATCATTGAACACATGGAGCGGATAGACGACGACTGCGGCGATTACGGCGTTCAGATGGTACGGGTGGCCGACCCGCTCATCGCCAAGAAGTATGGGGTACGAGAGCCGCCGGGGCTCGTGTTTTTCCGTCGTGGTAGACCTATAAAGTACGAAGGTGATTTGTTTGACGAGGAGGAGGCCCTGGAGTGGCTGACCCGGCCCGAGAACATGGAGCTGTCCGACGCCATCGAAAAGGTCAATCGCCGTATGTTTGAGCGGTTGCTCTCCAGAAGTATATACCTGGCGGTACTGTTTTACACCAAACAGGACTGCAAACAGTGCGATAAAGTGCTGGAAGAGTTGGAACGAGTTGAGTGCAATTTGTTTTTTAATCATGGTTAATAATTTGGTAGTTTTAATAGTTTTAAAGTTATTTTTTGTGTGTATTTTGCGGATCAGATCGACGACGAGGCGGACGGCGCGGGCATTAAGTTTGTGAAGATAGACGACACACAACTGGCCAAACAGTATGGCGTGTATGCGTTGCCGGCGCTCGTGTTTTTCAAACAGGGCGATGAGGGCGAGCCCATCATCTATGCCGGTAATAATTACAACACATTTCTCACGAGTTTTGTCAATATTTTACTTTATTATAAACGACATTAATTAAATCAATTACTTTTATAGTAAGCACACATTTAATTTTAAACATTAATTCTCGTATAGAAAAATTTTAGAATATTATTTACATACTGTAATTGCATAATCTAGCACATTTACTGACCTTTTAATAAATCTAATAATGTTATTATATTGGATACGATCTAGCCCAAACTTTTCAATAAAAATATTTATTAATATTTTTAAAATTAATTATAAAATTATTACATAGATTTATTTTAGATTTATAATGATAGTTTAGAAATTAAAAACCACCCCTTCCTTTCCCCATTTCTCCCACACCTTTACATTATTAATATTCGAATTCAAATCTCTCATGATAATAAAAAGTATTATTACCAACAACCAAGGTGATCTGAAAAAGTCGGAAAAAATACTCGATTGGCTGATCAACCAAAAGGACCCGTCGCTGGACAAGATCGAGGACGTGGACGCGCCGGCGCTCAGGAAACTCATCGAGAACTCCGACCATTTGGCCGTATATTTCTGTGAGTCAAATGTTTTTATAAGTTTTTTTTGATAACTTAGTTAAACATCATAATTTTACTTTTATCATTATTATATTTTTGGCCACCAAACACCACCACACACTGAGTTTGACTAAATGGGTGTGCAGTGAATTTGGGGTGGGGGCTCATGTTTGGATTGTACTTTGCACTTTTGCATCGTGATAGATTATTGGGGATTATTATGTATGAGCTCGTGTAATTAGAAAACCAGTATTTTAATTAATAAATTTACATTTAGTTTGTTTTTTGAGTTTGTTTAGTAATTATAGTTTTAGTTATGAGAGAACCCCCGCCCCTTCACCCCCTCTACGCGTATGAATATGGTTGTATACTTTTAATTAGTTTTATTTTAGTTTTTAATATACATTAGAAATTATCGTTAGTTTTCTAAATATTTTACTTGATTATAATTAATAAATGACTGCAAATAAATATCGGCATTAATTAAATCGATTGGTTTAATATTAAATAAAACACAATAATATAAAAAAATAAAATAATGTACTGAACATTATTTTTAATATTTTTAAATACATAATTTACATTTGTATTTAACAACTTAATATTTAATCTAGAACTTTTAAACACCTATACATCACATCTAAACAGCCTTACATATTGGGACCAAATGATCCCTCGTCTATTATTTTATTATTACTATTTAATTTTTATTTATTTAATATCTCGTGAGTTTTGTCAATAGTTTCCTTCATTATAAACGACATTAATTAAATCAATTACTTTTATAGTAAACACACTTTTAATTGTAAACATTAATTCTCGTATAGGGAAATTTAGGAATATTATTTACATACTGTAATTGCATAATCTAGCACATTTACAGACGTATTAATAATTCTAATAATATTATTATTCTGGCAATTGGCGAGGACACTGAGTAATTATATTTATTACTATTTTTAAAATTATTTCATAGTTTTATTTTCGAGTTATAATAATAGTTAAAAATTAAAACCAACACCTCCCCATTTCTCCCACACCTTTACACCGTCTACTCTAATAATTATTTATTTATTACAAGTTTTATTTTAGTTTTAATCTGCATTTGAATTTATTATGAGTTTTTAGATATTTTACTTCATTATAAACAACTAAAATCTCTCGTCCCTATGATATCATTAATCAAATCAATTACTTTTATATTAAAACACATTATATTTTTTAAAGATATACAGTATTAAATAAATTACTCATATATAGATATTGATAAATATCGTTAGATAACAACTGTAATTATATAATCTAGCACTTTTATACACATGTAAATAAGTCTAAACGAGAAATTGTATTGGGAAGAAGAAAAGTAAGAAATTTTATAAGATAGTGAAATTAATTAAATTTTTATTACGAAAATATCGTATTTAAAAAATTGTAAACCATGGTAATTTTACATCGGAGTTTTAGTACTGAGAAAACCTTCACCGTCTTTATGAATATGAATATAAATAGTTATTTATTAATTACTTTATTATTAGTTTATAATTTTTAGTCTGCATTTATCATGAGTTATATAAATATTTTACTTCATTATAAACGACATGAAATCTTTTGTCTATAAGATATCATTAATCAAATCAATTACTTTATGGAGAAATACATTATATTATTAATATTTTTCGGTTAATATAATGTACTGTATATTGAATTCTTGGATATAATCTCTAATATGAAATCATATTATTTTTGTGTATTAAAAATAACACAAAAATTTTTGCTCATTATTCTTGTTTATTACGATTAACTAAAACGGTATTTTATTTTATTGTTTTCATCTTGTTTATTTTTCATCGTGTGTTTGCATATAATATATATGATAAGTATCGGGACGGCCGGTGCTGTGCGGACACAATCTAGTGGTTAATGGGAGGGGTAGTCGACGATTGGGAAAGGGATTAGAAATTTGTTGTTTTTTGAGATCAGTCTAAGAATTTACGAGATTTTTAATATAATACATAATAAGTTATGTTTTATTTGTTTATCACATGGTTTTTCTTATTCTCTCTCTCTCTCTCTCTCTCTCTCTTATTCACTGATTAAATATTTTTCTATTTTGATTGAAATTTATTTTTTGGTTTTTCTCTGTTATGTATATTATA